GTGGTTATTCAAACTACACTATGCGTGCCTGCATATAAACAACTTCAGGTATCAGTTATAAAAATCCTAAAATGGAAATAGTACAAGGGACCCACAGAAATAATATACCCTGTGCTCTGTATAATATGTATGTTTCACTAGCGTATGTCTTTTAATAGGGTTTTCAAATGTCCTGTCTACTTCCTTTATATATATGAGATTAAAAATTTACTGAATAATTTGCACCACTTTTCTTATAAACAACGCGGTAGGCAACGCCATACGCGAGCTAGGTTTCTGAAATTCATTCACAGCATCGTCAGAAACCCGAATGATTGAAATCAAAATATAGCCGATGATGTGCTGTGTGCGTTTCTCAAAAGAAAACCTTACTTATTTGCCCGAATACTAAGGCAGACCAACACGTTGGCCTTCATTCTTATGCGAAGTCTAGTGGACATTGTCAGCTGAGAACATTGGTTGCGCAGTGTTATACACAGCCTGTCATTGATAGGAGTGTCTCAAACGCATCGTTATAAAGATAAAATAAAAAAAACAAATTATTAGCCTCTGTTATTAATTGCGATAAGCATTTTATTCTATCGATAATAAGATTTATTCATAAAGCACCTCATGGGTGCTGTCAAACACTTTGGAACACAGGAAAAAAATATAATAGTGTGTACGTCTATCGAATTGCTACAGATTACTATTTTGCCCGCTATAACTTTATTTTGAATGTTCACTCTGTCTTATGAAGTCAAAAAGTTTCACCTAAGCAATTTTCACCTCCACATAGCGCCCACACCCCTACATTGTCGATAAGAGTCCAACGCTATGCAACGCTGTTACAGATCCTGGAGGAAAATGTGGAACTGTTTGCAGACCTGAATGTCAAAACAAGAAATCATAGGAGAGACCATAGTTTTTCACCCCTGACGTTTGAGTCTAGGTCTGAAGCTAGAAAGAGTACAAACACTGTGTTTTAATCAGCGTCACTTTAGGGCGCGCTCCTTACAAATCGTGTCAGGCACGTTGGTTTCTCTCCCGGTTGATATTTGTTTTTTAGGATTTAACGATGACGAACCCCAAGGGTTATCGGCGCGGCACGCGTTACATGTTTGCGCGAAAGTTCCGCAAACATGGTGTTCTACCTTCTGGTGTCTACATGCGTGTTTACAAGCGTGGGGACATTGTTGATGTTGTTGGTGACGGTGGTGTCCAAAAGGGCATGCCCCATAAGTCATACCACGGTAAAACTGGTCGCGTGTATAACGTGACGAAGCATGCTGTCGGTGTTATCGTGAACAAACGTGTTGGGTAAGCGATTCCTTGCATAATTTGTTCTATTATGTAGTAATCGTATTATCCCCAAACGCATCAATGTGAGGGTCGAGCACGTTCGTCCAAGCAAGTGCCGCGTAGAATTCCTTGAGCGTGTCAAGGAAAACGATAGGAGACGCAAGGAAGCTAAGGAGAAGGGCATTCGATGCACTCTTAAACGGAAGGTATGGTCGTTATCATAAATAAATTTACCCTGCAGCCTAAACTTCCCCGCCGTGCTCATCTTGTTATCACAAAGAAAAGGCCAGTTGTAGACCTTCAGCCTTTGCCATATGAATTGATTGCATAAGTAAAGTTTTGCATGCGGACACTCGCTTCTGACTTTTGCACTTTAACTTTCGTCAGCCGTAAGGGTGCCCTGTGCGGCTTTTTTCCGAGGCAGTATTTCGACCGCAAGGTTTTTGCAGCATCAGTATATTACGCCGTGTTCTTATCGGAAGTGGATGGTGGTTGACCCACCACACTTTTCGCATCGTCTTTATTGAGAAGGGTGAAGGTTCACACAAGAAGACCCTGAAGTAGCATTTTCTGAATTATAAGCCGCTGATCAACCCAGTCGTGGGCGTAAACGATTAGCGGTTCGAATATGTGCTCCTGGCTACGGTCTGTTGTTGTGTCATAGAGTCGTTCTATCATTACCAATCGCAAACGTCAATTACGTCGTAAGTCGTAAGACAAGACAGCGGTAGCATTTAACGTCCAGTAATGCGATCCTGTTGGTGTCATAGAATAATAGTTAGATGCATCAAGAGGGTGTTCTATTTAACTCTTGTCCCTTTCTTATCATTGTGTTGGCCGTCACT